CCAACCAACTGGTCAAGTTCAACGACACACCACGCAGACCGAAAATGCAACCCAATGTGCTCCACCCACTTCGAGGCAGTATGTCGTTTTCGTCATGCGACAACGTTTGTGTGATAACGTGGTTTGTGTAGCGGTACTGTTTGAGTCGCCCTCGCAACAGTACCCCCGCGTCAGTTCGATGATACGACTGTACGATTTGTCTGTGACCCCCCCAAGCAACCAAATGGACTTGTTGGCGGATTACGAGCAGGTCGACAGACATTCCCCACCCCGATCGTCGTTGTCTACCCGTCCGTCGTACCAGCGTTATTAGGGTTAAATTGTAGAATCTTCATGTTATACTGGAGTACATTTGCGTTGATCGTGCGCCATTTCATGTGCTGTACCGACTTTGTCGTAATACTATTACTACCAGTTATTATCTGACCAACACTGTAACCGCCACGTAACCGACATTTAACGCTGTCAATGGCAGTACCAGTACAGTAATACAGTGCGCGCCACATGGATAGGACACCCTGGTTTTCTGTAGTAGTGGATGGCAGTTGTGCTGATCTGCAGCCCAAGCGAGGAGGAAGTCAATTGACAGCCATGGCGAGATCAATTAAGTGAAGATGCAGACAATTACAAAGCGTACTGATCAAATTATGACACAAACAACTATTTGGGGTGCGACATCAGGATAGGACACCCAAGAAGTTTACAACGAAATATGTCCTGGCAGCACAAAGTTTTGTATTTAATATTTAGTCTTGCCTCCTTTAGCTTGGATCACACGCACACAGCGCTTTGGCATCGACTTGACAAGGTCCTGCAAGTAGTTTTGGGAAATTTCCCCCCACTCGCCCTTGATGGCAACCTTCAGGTCGTCCACGGACACAAACTGCTTACCATTAAGGTAAACTTGGCGAGCCAGAACACCCCAAACATTTTCAATGGGGTTTAAATCCGGCGAGAGCGCAGGATGGTCAAAAATGACCACATCTTGCTCGTCCAGAAACTCCATGACCGGCTTGGCACGATGAATACTGGCGTTGTCTTGCATAAATACAAAACGTCCGCCATATATTTCATGGCCAAATGGAAACAAAAAGTTCGACAACGTGTCGATATACTTGTCACCTGTTTGCGAGCCTTCCAGAAACGCAATCTCCGACTTTCCGTGACAGGAAAATGCTGCCCAAACCATGCAACTGCCCTCCGCCTCTGTGCCGGGTGAAAAATTGGTCCTTATCGTGGCGAAGGTCATGTAAATAGAATTGGAAGCCATCGGGGCCATCTAGATTGAACTTTTTCTCGTCGGATCACACCACATTGTCCCATTCTGGTGGTTTCGTGAGATGTCCTTCGGCGTACTTGAGCCGCGCGTCCTTGTGCCGCTGAAGAAGCTTGGGCGCGTGCTGACGCTTCGTGTACTTCAAGAACACGGTTTGGTGTAGGATTCTTTGGTAAGTCCTTAGCGAGACATCCAATGGAACGTGCGCTTTGAGCTGCCTGGCAGAGCAGCCGGTCGTCTAGGCGTGTTTGATCAGTTGGCGGCGTGCACGTTCCGTCACTTTTGTGGCCTTTGGGGTGATGTAGTTGGTCCCGTACGTGTCGGGCGACCGAAGGAAACTTGCAACGACATTCCTGGAACGGCCCAGGGTGGCGGCAATGCTCTTGACCGATCACTCGGCCTTCCAAAACGCCAAAGCACTGCCTTGTTCGTACTCAGTAAGTTGCGCGGCTCTGCCCATGGTTGTTGGGCTTGGAAACGCAAGGCAACGCTTGTCAAAGGGTTCTTTATTGACGCTTACTCCTTGTACGTGCAAGGATTGCCTTGAACCAGCTCAGGGTGGGTTTGAAAGTCAGGTGTCCTATCTGGTTGTCGCCCCTCAAATTCAGTTTTCGCGGCATAACTCGGCTTGGTTTGAATATTTTGACCTGAATCAAGCGCCAAACAAACGGACCAATCAAATGCGTAATTTTGGTATATTTTGTTTCGCTGGACGTGCATTTTATCTCTTGGGTCCTTCGAAAAACCAGGGTGTCCTATCCATGTGGCGCGCACTGTAGTAGTAAGAAATACTCAAATTTAAGTACAGTAGTGATGTGAGACTTGTACTGTAGGAGTATTCCATGAGTATTCCATGAGATGGTCCCGCTCATTTTCATCGCGTCGAAGCATGGTTCAAAACGCAAGATCGCCTACGATCGCTCCTTATCGACTGATGTAAGGCAAGGAGTGGTTAAGGGGACTGCGCGTGTTGCAGAATGCTTCTTGTATTGGTTTCTGAATGAATGCTGAAGAAAATGAGGATGAGCTACTTGTTTAGTCTTTGCATTGGATTTGCTCGTTTTGTTTGACTAATCCTCTCGAAAAAACAGCAGCTGTACTTTTTGGAGTGATTACAGTATTTGGAGTGATTAACTGTAAACTACAGTAGAACATACAGTACTATTGTGCTTTCGAGTGAAATTTCGTCTTGTGGCGTGGTTTCTCGTTGGAATTTAAATCGATTTGATTGGCTACTTCAGATGAGCTCAAAATTAATGGCCAATCAAAACCTTGTCAATGAAATTCAACCAATCAGATCGATTTTGGATCAGTTTGGTCGGCGCGATTCGATTGCACCCCCTCCCTAAATTTGTATCAAATCGACAATACTCCGAGTACGTAGTAGTACGCAGGTGTAGTAGTTTCCTTGAATACCAGTACCGGTGATGGTGGCCGGGTGTTCGCGTCGAATTGTACCTTCTCACAATGGAACCTAAAAAATTCGATACAGTGCTTTGCGGTAAAATCGGGACAGTGCCACTGTCCCGAAATACAAAAAATCACATTTGTGGCGAAGTAGAATAAACACGCTGGATTGGACAAAATTTGATTCAATTGCGCGGGCCAATCACAGAGTAGCTTGATTGTAATTGGCTAGTTTCAAATATTTGAACGAAACGCGTTTCATCACGTTTGACTTCAAAGTCAAAGCCGCACCAACATGTACCAGAGGTACAACAATGGGCAACGGAAGGCCCTCCTGGTCAAGTTCCACGTGTCGAATGTCACCAGCGAGCGCCAATTCTGCCGCGAGAACAACATCAAGCCATCAACTTGAGGAGCGTGGCGGGCGAGAGAGGACAAGATCATGACGAGCAAGCGCCACAGCCGGCTCGCAACCATCGGTGGCCAAGGCCACAAGCAACTCATTCCCTTCGGACCCGCCCTTCTCGAGTTCATGCGTTCCCGCCGGAACGACGAGCGCTATGTGCGCGTCTTCCACATGATGACATGGGCCAAGAAAAACCTTCATGCGTGGCTGGTGGAGTACCTGTCGACCAAGAAGAACGAAATTGTCGGGTTCCAGTCCTTCCGGTGCTTGCTCCTTCGCTTCGCAGAACGTCTTCGCTTTCACCACCGAACGCCATGCGCCAGCAAGCTGACGCAAAAAGTTCTCGATGACGTGTGGCTGGGTTATGCCGCGTCGTTCTGGGACAGATATGGCCACTACGACCACAGCAACATCATCAATGTTGACGAGACCGCCGTGTACTTTGACATGCCACCTGGCAAGACGCTGGCCGAGGTGGGTACATCGAGCAAGGTTTCCACCGGCGAGAAACACTCACCACGGCTGACCGCGGTCCTGACCATCCGAGCGGACGGTACACCTTTGCGCGAGATACTCGTATTCTAAACGAATGATTAGGAACCAAGTTGCCTCTGTTGTTCATCGTCAAGGGCCAACTAGGTGGCACTATCGAAAAGCAGGAGCTCGAGTCATACCCGGCTGGCCATCACTACGCAGTCCAGAAGAATGCGTGGATGGACGAGCGCATTTGGTCTATGTACCTCGATGACGTGTTGGCCTCATGTGTCGAAGACGCGTCTGTTCTGTTAGTGGATAATTTAAAGTGCCATGTGTCGGAAGAGTCGCACGACAAAGTGGCCGAAGCGATGTTCAGCGTTGTGGAGCCGCTGCCGGCCAATTCAACGAGTCGTTGCCAACCACTTGGTGTTGGTGTGATGGGACCTCTCAAGGCCATGCTGAAGACCGAGTGGCTATTGGAGGAAGACAATCGTGAGGGGA